GGAGTCCCGGGATCGAGTCCCGCATCGGGCTCCCTGCTTGGCAGGGAGTCTGCTTCTCCCTCTGACCCTCTTCCCTCTCATGCTGTCTGTCTCTCTCTCAAATAAATAAATAAAATCTTTAAAAAAAAAAGAGAGAGAGCGAGAACAGGTTGGGGGGGCAGAGGGAGAACAGACTCCCCGCTGAGCAGGGAGCCTCACACAGGGCTCAATCCCAGGACCCTGGGATCATGACCTGAGCTGAAGGCAGATGCTTAACCGGTTGAGCCACCCAGGTGCCCCTCAGTCCTATTTTTTTTAAGAGAACTTTTTGTGTTTATAATCAGAAAAAAACAATAATGACAGTGTAAGAAACCTGATAGGCTGGATGAGTTTCTACGGTGGTATCAATATTTGGTCCCCAAAAGCCGTCACAGAAGAGGAATGCTACAACATTTAGTAACACGTGACTATGGAACCAACGGTCTTTTTTGAACCAACAGTCTTGAGAGAAATTAGAGAATCAGTTGATGATTCCAGGGTGAGGGGGGAGCAAGGGGTGACATCCTGACCAGTGTGCCAACCACAGTATGTTGGCATTGTTGGGATTCTCAAAGGAAGAAGCATTCTCGTCTTCCATAGCAAGAACCTCCGGATATCACTGATTGTGTAGTGTACCTTATCAGGAGAAAAATTGAGCATTTACCTGCAATATATTGTATTTTTAATCTCTCATTCAATATCTATCACTGCATATTATGAAGCAGACATAATCAGAATTTCTAATAGGATCAAAAAATAAACCAGTAGAGGGGCGCCTGGCTGGCTCAGTCGGTAGAGCATGTGACTCTTGATCTCGGGGTTGTGAGTTCAAGCCCCACATTGGGTGTGGAGGTCACTTAAAAATAAAATCTTAAAATAAAAATACATACACACACACACCGGTAGATATTTTAATGTCTTTTTCCTATACTGCAATGAACTAACTCAGTAGCCTATGCAGCTCACTTTGGAGACCCCTGGCTGAGGGCAGTAATTCTCAGATTATGTAGTGCTATATAAAATGTATATTTGAGGACCCAACCCCCAGAGACTTTGTTATTCTCCCAAGCCTGGGAATCTGTGTAGGTTATTTGTTTGTTTGTTTTAAAGTAGGCTCCACACCCAGCGTGGAGCCCAACTCGGGGCTTGAACTCACGACCCTGAGACCAACACCTGAGCTGAGATCAAGAGTCAGATACTTAATGGACTGAGCCACCCAGGCTGCCCGCTGGGAATCTGTGGAGTTTTGTTTGTTTTTAAAGATTTTATTTATCCACTTGACAGAGAGAGAGAGGGAGAAAACACAAGCAGGGAGAGCTGCAGGCAGAGAGAGAAGGAGAAGCAGGCTCCCAGCTGAGCAGGGAGCCTGACATGGGGCTCAGTCGTAGGACCCCAGGATCACAACCTGAGCTGAAGGCAGACGCTTAACCAAATGAGCCACCCAGGTGCCCTGGGAATCCGTGGTTTTAACAGCTACCCAAAGGGATCTTGATGCCAGTGATTCATTTGGGTTTGCCTTAAGAAACCTTTTGTAAAGTTTCAGATGAAAGACCAAAAAAAGTCTGTATCTTAATAGGAAGTGATTAAGTATTGGTTTCTTTGAGAGGGACATTTGCAACTCTGAGCCTCAGGTCATCTTTCGAGGTTAGTGTTAGAGTTAAGTGTGAGAATGACATGTTTGGGAAATTTTTTAAAAGCCAGACCTTGACTGATCTGTTTTTTAGGTTGGACCGTGTTGACTGGTTTGTTTTAAGGCCTCCAAAGTATCCATGAAACGGTCCACCTCCCTTCATCCCTGCCGTCCCCATGCACACTAGGCCACGTGACTGCCAGGAGGGAAACGGACTAGGATACAGGGAGAATAATGTTGGGCTGCTTGGATGCAGCGGACAGGGAAGGCCCTTTGGAGGTGACATTTGAGCCAAGACCTAAAGGACGAGGTCCAGCCTTGGGAAGAGCCTTAAATATATACCAAGGCCCCAAGGCAGAAATAGGTTGGACACAGAAAGGACCTGTGAGACATGGGCTGTGAGACATGGGCTGTGAGGTGCCAATGGGAGGTCAGATTGGGCAAGGCTTTGGACTTGGCTCTGATTTTTTTTTTTTTTTAAGTGTCATAGGACGGAGGCTGTGTTCGTTTCCTAGACCTTCTGTAACAAAGCATTATAAACTCAAAGCCTTAAACAACAGAAATGTGTTTTCTTACAGTGCTAGAGGCTACAAATCCAGGATCAAGGTGTTGGCAAGGTTGATTCTGTCTAAAGGCTCTGAGGGAGGATCTGTTCCAGGCCTCTCTCCTGGGTTCTGATTCGCAGCAACGCTTAGCATTTCTTGACTTGTAGACCCCTGATTCCATCTCTGCCTCTGTTGTCATGTGGCATTCTTCCTATATGTCTTCACGTGGCCTTTTGTAGGGTTACCAGTCATTGGATTTGGGCTCATTCATATCTGGTATGACCTCATCTTAACTGATTTTATCTGAGGTTCCACGTGGACGTGCAATTTGGCAGGGGGCACTGTTCATCCCCGTAGGGAAGCCAGCAGAGGTGTTAAGGGCAGGGGGATTTACATTTCAAGAAGACTGTCTGAGATAGCAGAGGGGTCAGGATGCCTGCCTGTCCAGGTGGAGCCTATGTGACTAGAAGTGGAGGGAGCTAATAGGAACGATGTACGTTCCCCAGGGACTGATGGGGCACGCTGAGGGACTGGCTCTGGAGGGGAGTGAGGAGGAGCTAGGTGCTGAAGGGTGACTCCAGGGTCTCAGCACTTACACCCCATCTCGCCCCGCCCCCAGCAAAGTCCCTCCCCAGATCGCCGCGGCCTGGCTCAGTCAGGCCAAGCCTGGCACGCTAGCCACAAGGCCTCGCTCTGCCTCTCCCACTCGGCCTGGCTGCCCCTTTGTGCAGGAAGCCTTCTCACCACCCCAAGTGTGGGTCAGGGCTGCCTGGTCCTGTCAGTACTCGCTCTGCATCCCTCTGCCCTGCTAGGCAAGAAGCCCTCAGAAGAAAGGGATCTCCCCGATGGCACCGCGTGCCGCAGAGCCCAGGGCCCAACACCACATGAGTTCCCAGAGCCACAGCTGGTGTTCAGGGATGTGTGGTTGTGAGGAGGTCCTGAGGAAGTCCAGGATTTGAGAGGAAGCAAAGGCTCTTAGGCTGGGCCAGGCGGCTGCCCCTTAGGGAGGTGTGGGCCTCGGATGGCCTGTGTCCGTAGTCTAGGCTGGTGCACACGGGAGTGTGGAGTGTGCTTAGAGTTCCTGCAGAGCCTGGCATTCTGGGATCCCTTTCACTACTAGGCTCAGGAAGGAAGGAGAGGATGCCCATGTCTGCAGAGAGGTGTGATCACAGCTACCCCCAGGCCAGGAGAAAGGGAGGTCATGACAATAGGCAGGGGCTTTGGAACCCCTTGGTCTCCCCTAGGCAGCTTAAGGACATGAAGCCCGAACTCGGCTTTGAAGGCGGAACCCAGCTGCAGACAGAGGGACTAGCCTGGTGGGACCCAGATTTCCAGCTCACAGCTTCTGGCCAGCTGTCCCTGCTATGAGGCTACAGGCTGACCCGAAGACGATACCAGAACAAGGAAATGTCTTGAGCGGGGAGGCCTGGTCTTGGCCCCAGAAGTGTGCTCCATCCTGAGAGCAGTGGTACGGGGATGGCTGGGGAAACGTTCGAGGGGGACAGGGAGAACATGGCCCAGGTTTCAGGTGCTTCTGGAACAGCTACAGAGTGGGTCTGTGTCCCATGAGCTAAGCAAGCTTGTCTCCCAGGCACTAGACACTCTTCCTAGCTGACCGAAGGGAGTCAGGGAGGCCCCTGCCCTTCCCCCTGAGGACTTCTGTCTCCTATAGGGACATAGCCATGTGGACTAGGGGCCTTGGCCAGAGCAGGTGTGGGCTTGGCTCGGGTTCTAGTGCAGCAAGTGGACATGGCTCGGCTGCAGCAGGATCTGGCTGGGTCAGAAGCTATTCTGCTGGAGGTCTCCCTGCTCTGTTACCCATGGCCATTTGTGTCTCAGGACAGGAGTTGGGTTTGCCATGGTGCTTATGGCTGAGGAATGTCTTTGAAAAAGAGGCCTTGGACAGGAGGCGGAGGGATGGACTTGGTGACCTTGCCAGGCCCCAGTGACCTTGGAGCACTGTGTATGTAGGGGAGGGCAGCCACATTGGAAGGGCCTGGAGGGGCACCATGGCAGACTGGGCCCGGAAGTGAAGGCCAAGAGGAGGCAGGTGGAATCACCAGCCTGAGCTCACCAGACGCTTTCCCTGCCCACTCTGGTTCAGTGGGGGCTGCAGAATCAAGGCTGTGGTTGGCCTGTTTTGGACCAGAGAACTGTGGCTCCGGCCGGAGGACTCACTTGGGGCTTGGGAATTGATTCCCAGATGTCCCTGGCAGGTTAGGCAGTGGTGGCCCCCTGGAGCTGGGAGGTCAGGGGGTGACCACCCATGAATAAAGTGGAAACCCTCTCCCTTGTCTCCTCAGGTTAGAAATCTGTGCTACATGGTGACAAGGCGCGAGAGAACGAAGCACGCCATCTGCAAACTGCAGGAGCAAATATTCCACCTGCAGATGAAACTGATTGAACAGGATCTGTGTCGAGGTAGGCGCCTTCCCTGCGCATCACCAGCCCCCGCTCAGTGTGCATGCTGTCAAGGGGCCGGGGCCCAAGGAGGGGGTGTGTTCAGGGCCTGGTGAGGGCATGTGCACGGAGCCAGGGACCACTGGCCCGTACACGGACCCTTCGTAACCCACTAGTAGACCAAGATGGGATTCCCGGGGCCCTAGTTGTGTGTTGGCTGACAAGGAGCCAGGGATAGGAATGTGGGCATCGGCCTGTCCTGAGGGAGCTTTCTGGTCCACTGGGAACACCTACGTAGTTGCAGGGCCATCGTGGTTCAGGAGTGGATGGCATGGGAACAGTGGCTCTAGGCTGGTGTTGGGGCAGGAAGGGCCGGAAGCTGGTGAGCTTCCCTGAACCCGTGTGCCTCCATATGGATCCTGAACCAGGTAGCTGCCTCAGAGATGGAAGAGGACCTGTGTGTTCTTTCCCTCTGACCTCAACTGAGAATTTAGATGCTGTACCAGCAGCTTTTTTCTCTGTTAAACTCTTGCCGTCACATGCACTTAACAGATCTGGAAATCAAGGGCAAAGAAGCTTCATCATTGCTCTTGTCTGTTGGTTGTGTGGATTCTGCCCGACACCAGGCCCTTCCCAGAGTGGGTGCATGTTAAGGAGGGCACTGCTTCACTCAAAAGATGGCGCTCTCGTGTTGGATGACACGTAGCTGGATGGAGAGAGATTTTGAGCCAGGAGCCGCCGCTGCCAGTTCAGCCTCCGGGTCAGGCTGGGCCTGGCGTGGAGAGGAACTGGAGCTGCTGGGCCACCCCCAGAACGAAGGACTGTGTGGCTGGGATCACAACCCACTCTGTCCTAAGAAACCAGCCCTACCCAGTACAGGTGTTGGTTCAGGCCGGGTCACATCCACACAGAGGTCAGAGCTTACCGTGCCTCCCCAGGACTGGCAGCTTCCTGGTTGCCCGAGCTTTCCAGGCTCCCTCTTGTTTGCTGGTTTTTTGCAGCAAGCATTAACAGTGTAGACAGCATGCCAGGCTCTGTGCCGGGCACCACGGGGCACACTGCCATGGACTGAATGGATAGAGTTCCTGTCCTTGTGGAGCTCACCATCTGGGAAGGTAAAGGAGAGGGTGCCCAAGGGGCTGAGGTCGGCACCAGTGCAGGGACAGAGCATCAGGGATGGCTTTGCAGCAGTGGGGATTCTGGAAACACATTGGGCTCCCTGGGACCTCACTGTGGCCGCACGTCCGGCTGCAGAAGGAGAGCCCCACGATCAGGGCGACAGAAAGTGGCAGGGCGTGTGGTAGTCTCAGGTACAGGATTTCAGAAACCTGGTCAAGAGCCAGGGCCCGATCCCCGTGTGGAGCCTGGGGACTTTTGCAGCTCTTAGACCTAAGTGGCAGCAACAGGCAGCCCTTTGTTCAGAGCAGGCCATTTGGAGAGGGGACTGGTTTGCCTGTGCTGATGCCCTCGGGGTGGTGACATTCGGCCCTGGGACAGGACATGGCTACCAGCAGATTGTCAAGGCCTCTGTGGCCAGAGGGCTGGAGAAGGCTTCCCACGGCAGTGACATTTATGCTGTGAGCTAAACCAGGTGGAGGGCAGGACAGTTTGGAATCCTAGAAGCCAGAGCCTGGCTTTTTAGAGAAACGGGAAGGAGGCTGGCCTCGCAGCCACTGGGGCAAAAGGATGATGTCTCAAGTGAGGTTTGGGGGTTGATGGGGTCAGACATGCAAGGTTTTATGGCCTCAAAGAGCTCAGACTTTCCTGAGGGCAGCGGGGGAAACTTCGAAGTCTCCCTCCCAAGTATGTAGGCACAGGTCCCATGTCGGAGATGAGCCTCCCGAGGCCTGGCCTGAGGTTGCACCGGGGATTAGCGGCAGAGCCGGGGAGACTGCCTATCCCTCAGCCTTCTCTAAAGCTTCATCTGGGAAGCACGCCAGCCTCTGGCTGAAAAGCTAGGAGATTTCTGGCAGCTGGGCCTCTCCCTGCAGGTGTCCTCCCCTGTTCCAGCGTTCTCGGTGGCTCCCTAGACCCGTATGGTCAGGGACCAAAAGGATATGAGGGCCAAGTGTGCACCCCAAGTCTGCCATCTACTGCGTGACCTCAAGAGCAGATCAGGAGACCAGGCAGGAGACGTGCTCAAGGATCTGACTAGAACCCATGTCTCTTGACTCCTCAGTGTTTTCTCCACCTCCTCCTGCTTGGCTCCTCAGCCTGGCATTGAAGGCCCTGTCCTGGCCACTCACCTCCGCCACCTTCCCCACCCACTAGGATTCCCTCCACATCTGTAGGCATGTAGCTCAGCCTGCATTCCAGGTCCTACAGGGGTGTTCTCCACCCTCTTCGTGGCCCTGTGCCCTCCCCAAGCCACTCAAGGGCAGCAGTAGACAGTGACCCCCTCTTCCCCACCAGCCCCTGACTCAGGAGCCCCACTTACCCAGCCGCCCGTGGCTCTGAGCCTGGGGCCCGTCAGCAGGGCAAGGTGACCTGGAAGGTGAGGCGCAGGTGAGTGAGGACTCTTAGGCTGGTCGGCAGTGATCTTGGTTTTGGCTGAGCTGCTTGGGCTAACCACCTCCCTCCTGCTCTCTCTTTCCCTGGCACAGAGGGGTCTGGGAGGAGAGCAAAGGGCAAGAAGAGTGACTCGAAAAGGAAAGGCCGTGAGGGCCCGAAGGGCAGCCCAGAGAAGAAAGAGAAAGTGAAGGCGGGGCCCGACTCAGTCCTGGGGCAGCTGGGTGAGTGAGTGGCCACACTGGCCTGGCAGACGTGGCCAGGATCACACCATCACTCCATTTGCAGCCCCCAACCTAAGGCCAGCAGGGTCTGCTGGTACCTCCACTGCACAGAGTAGGAAGCCCAAAGGGCTAAGCAGGCCCTTCCATGCCCAGGTGCTCACACCTTTTAGCCATAAAGGAAACAAGGTAGGGTCTCAGAGTCCTGTCTGCATCCCAAGAAATTCCTCTTGTGTAGACCTGGAGACTGGGCCAGGGGCTCAGGAGCCTGCACGCACATTCCCCTAGCCAGAGTCCTGGATGCCAGATTTTTCTGGAGGCCCTCAAGGGACCTGTAGGCCATCTAGGGCCTTCCAGAATGAAGCCCTCTGCTGGGAGATGAGGGTCTGCCAGAATTCTCCATCCTAGTCCCACCCTGCTGGAATTTCCCCAGCGAGCCCTCCCTTCAGCACTAGGGAACCTTCCTGGAGCTACCCCAAGAGAGCCAAAGGAGTGGCCACAGGACTGGCCCAGCCCATCGTCACTCACAGAATCCTTACTGCTGCTGCATTAAGCAGAACAGCCCTTGAGGGTCCCCTGGCTTTGGGCTCTGTCTCCCAGGGTGTCACATGTTTCCCCTAGAACACTTTTCAGGGATGACTGTGGCATCTTCCAGACCTCACCTCCAGCAAGGAAGCCTCAGGTTATCTTGTATTTCCATCAGTCTCAAGAAGGGGACCACGTGGGTATCAAAAGAAAAGCCCAGGATCACCTGCTGGCCCGGACCCCCAAGAGGGAATTTCTACCTAGAAGCCCTTCACTACCCCGTTCACACCTGACACACTGATCCAGCTTCTCTGCTTTGGAAGCAGCGCTCATGAAAACCCACCGCCTCTGATGGCGTGAGGGCGTTTCCTTTCATTCCTCCATCCCCTGCATCGCCGGGAAGGGGGTGGTGAGCAGAGCTGGCCTCACGGGTGTGTACTTGTCGCATCTCAAAGGGCTCTTGCTTGGTTTAGTGCTCTACTTTATTGCCTTGAAATATCTTAATAATTTTTGAACAGGGAGCCCACATTTTCACTTTGCATTCTGCACCACAAATCATGAAACCAGTTCTGGGAATAGGTTGATCTGGGGAAAAGGGGAATATGGTGTGGACCCCCCTCTTCAGTGGTGTTGGTGGGAGGGATCAGCAAATCAAGATGGCTCCGTGGGGTCTGGCACAGAGGGAGGGAGGCAGGTGCACCGTGGCCTGCTGGGGAGGGTCTGAGAGGGCTTCCTGAGAGAGGGTGGGACCCACACCTGCGAGTATCTCACTTGCGTCCTCTCTCCCCTCGGCCAGGCCTGTCCACCTCCTTCCCCATCGATGGCACCTTCTTCAACAGCTGGCTGGCTCAGTCAGTGCAGATCACGGCGGAGAACATGGCCATGAGCGAGTGGTCACTGAACAACGGGCACCGTGAAGACCCCGCTCCGGGGCTGCTGTCAGAGGAGCTGTTGCAAGACGAGGAGACGCTGCTGAGCTTCATGCGGGACCCCTCGCTGCGACCTGGGGACCCTGCCAGGAAGGCCCGGGGCCGCACCCGCCTGCCTGCCAAGAAGAAGCCACCACAGGATGGGCCTGGCTCACGGACGACTCCAGACAGATCCCCCAAGAAGCCCTGGGGCCAGGATGCAGGCAGTGGCAAGGGGGGGCAAGGGCCAGTGGCCCGGAAACCAACACGGCGAACGCCTTCCCACCTGCCGTCTAGCCCTGCAGCTGGGGACTGTCCCATCCCAGCAGCCCCCGAGAGCCCCCCTCCTCTGGCCCCCGAGACCCCGGACGAGGCAGCCCCAATGGCTGCCGACTCGAATGTCCAAGTGCCTGGCCCTACAGTGAGCCCCAAGCCCTTGGGCCGGCTCCGGCTGCCCCGCGAAAACAAGGGAACCCGGAGATCGCCAGGTGCCAGGCCTGATGCTGGGACAGGACCGCCCTCTGCTGTGGCCGAGAGGCCCAAGGTCAGCCTACACTTTGACACTGAGACCGATGGTTACTTCTCTGATGGGGAGATGAGCGACTCAGATGTGGAAGCTGAGGACAGTGGGGTGCAGCGGGCTCCCCGGGAAGCAGGGGCTGAGGAGGTGGTCCGCATGGGGGTGCTGGCCTCCTAAGTCACCCCCTACCCCGTCCCAGGCCCTGCCCTGGTCCTCCCGTGAGGCCTCAGCCCAGTCACAACTGCCATTTCCAATCTCTGCTGAGTGTCTCAGACCCTTGAGACTGCCACTCTGTTGTGGTTTTATTTTTAATATAGAGAGAGTTTTGAATTCCACACTGTTGTCTTTCTTCTGTGCTGGCCTAGGACAGTAGGATTCCTTCCACGGCTCTGGCCGCAGGGACTGTCGCAGGTCCTGTGCACCATCCCTGCCTGGGCAGTGCCCCGCCCTGGCCCGCGCGGCGTCGCTGGGCTCCTGGCTAGATGTAGGCAAGGTGAAGAAGAGCTCAGGCCTCCAGCCCGCTGCCACTGGGTGACACAGACCGTCGTTTGGGCATTATTTCATGGCAGATGGGCCAGCCCAGGGCCTGCCCCGCCTTGCCCCCAAATCCCACTGGGGTCCATCTGGGGGGTCCTGCTGCACTCCACTGATCCCCAAGGAAGTATGCTAAGTGATACCCAGCCAGAGTCTACTCACTGTCACAAGCACAACGAGCTTATACAAGAAAGCACTGAGGGGGCGCAGAGGGCCCGCTGGTTCCAGAGGAACCACAGCTGTTCCTGATCAACCCACATCATCTGAGGCCTGCCCGCCCACCCCGCGACCCCCCACTCCCTTGCTGCTCCGCCCCTGCCAGTGCCCAGCCCAGCGGCTCTGAGAAGGGGTTCCTAGAATCCTTCCTGAGCTGTGCCATTTACTCAGGGGACTCCCAAACAGCCAGCCGCCAGTGCCGGTGGGAGCTGCAAGGGAGGGCCAGTGCCCAGACAGGGGCGTGGGGCTCAGACTCACCCACTTAGAGAATTGCTCTGGGGCTCCAACTTCCTTCCTTCCTTCGGGGCCAGTCTCGGCCGAAGTCTGGTCACTCCCAGACAGCTGACCTGACCAGACCAGACCGTTTGCCTTTCCAAGTTTTCCAGTCCTGCTAAGAGACAAGCTTCTTCCTCGGTTTCCTTTTGGAAACTCCTCCTTCCAACAAGCAGTGGGATCCCGGGGCCTGGGGCAGATTTCAAGTCTTGCTGGATGTTCCTGGTTCCTCTGTCCCTGTGAGCCGTTACCCCCTCTCCTGGGTATGCCCTCCCTCCCCACCACCGACCCACCTGCCACCTTTTCCGTCCCACCCTCTAGGTCCCAGGTAGTTGCTCTGAAGAGTTTCAGTGGAGTGGCCCCAGGGTGATAGCTCAGGGAACAAACACAAAAGGAATTCAGTGAAAACATGGGTTTTTTTCTTTCATGAATTACTCCTGGGTCACTTCCGCCACTGGTGAAGCCAGAACTTCTCCAACAAGAACCTTGCAAAAGTCCAGTGAATCAGTCGAATCATTCTATGGATGCCAAAGAATATTTTGACCATAATACAGCACAGCCTGGACCTGACAACTTGTCACTTGGACTTTTTTTTTTTTTTTTAAATGGAGTTCTTTAGCAACAAAGTGTAGAGACATGTTCATTGCACACACCCAAGGAGGCGAGCCCAAGCTCTTGGAAGAGGGTGCTGTTCTGCTGCTGAACTGTTAGAATCGGGAAGTGGGAACCAGCGCTGGATTTCAGATCCTGGGCTGGGCCCACTGTGAGCTTTCCCAAACTCTGAGACTCAACCGGGGGTGGGGGGGTAGAATACCGACCACAAAACCAGCATGGCGAAAGTCTTCACCATGTGGTTCCCCCCAACACAAATACACAACGCAGATCAGCGGGATGGGGAGCAGCGTGACCACCCACCCCCGACTGCAGAACTTTCAAGGTACGACAGTGGCATTGTCATCGACACTCAGTTTCGTGTGAATTTTAGCAAAACAGGAAGCAAAGACAGGACTCCGTTCAGAAGATTGGGCACATTGGTCCGGGTGGAGTGGACTCAGGGCGGGCTTCCGGGATTCTGGGCGTTGGGATGGCACAAGGCACCGTGGAGGGTTCAGTCCGCCTGCCTCCTTGGGAGTCACGGCCAGTGCGGCGTCTGCACCAGCGGCCCAACCCCCGTTCTCTGTTTACTGCCTTTGAACAGTCGTCCTTCCTTCCCCGTGCTCTGGGTCACAGTCTTGTCTGTGCTGGATTGCCCGGTCTGACCTCGCAGGAAGCCAGGGGACGCGATTAAAGAGCGACCAACTCTGCCGGGGGTGGGGGTGGGGTGCCGGGAATGGCTCAGGCCCAATAGACTCAGCCCTTGCCCCCTCACCCCTTCGTGCGTCCCGAGGCAGAGTCTGGGCTCCCCCGGGGGCAGGAGAGAATGCAGCCTGGCTGGCCAGGGTCTGGTCTGGGTCGGCCAGGCGGGGCAGCCAGCTCTCTTCAGGGGGCCTCTGCCCAAGTTGGCTTCTGGATTCTCTTCTGTGTTGGCTCTTGGCTTTGGACTGGACTCTCCCTGGGGCCATGTCCTGCACAGGGCCCAGGGATCTGTTCAGCCAGCTGGTGAGGGATGTGGGGGGCCTTCACTCCCAGGCCAGCCCTAGGGCTGTTCTTGCCGGGCAGCTGTCCACCTCTAGGACGCCCAGCAAGGCTACACAGAGGTCAGAGATGCTGATCCCCACCACTGTCATTTCCTCCATTAGCCACAGCCCCTTCCCTCTCTGGTCTACTGCCCGCCATGTAGACAGCTTTGCCACCCCTGGCATTGAGGTTGGAAACAGGGAAGAAGGCAGGAGGCCTTTTGCAGGCCCGAGGCTGAGGCAGAGCTCCTGGTTGACCACATCTGCCCCCACTCACTGGCCCTCTTCTGGGAGGGAGAAGCTGCTCTGTTACTCATTCTGTCATTCCCCATTCTCCCAGTCCTGGCTGCACAGCTCCTCCCTCCCCCTCATCACAGCAAGAAAAGGATATGGTGCACGGAAAGTATTTTTATGGATCATAAATGTATTTTAAAGTGAGTAAGGAGAAGAAAGGTAGAAGGCTTTATTTTATTAAATGAGCTCTCTGACTTTGTGACAGTGTGTGAGCGTTTGTAATGTCAGGGTCTCGATTTCCTTCAAGAAGCCACCAAGGTTCCAGACGTGGGTGCCGGACTGTAGGTGTGTGCGCCTGGGCCAGGGTGCATGCCCTGTGTCCTTGCGCATGCGTGTCTGTGTGTTGTGTATGGGCACATTGTGGGACTGGCTGGGGCAATTTTTAGGGAATCAACTGCCCACTACTAACAGACATTGGCGGCAGCTGGACTGGGCATTTCCTTGCTCACTGCCAGATGTGGTTAACCTCTGCCCGTGCCCGGAGCTCTGCAGAATGGTCTGGATGCTGTAGCAAGGCCCTGGGGGAGGCCGCTTCCCACGCCCCGGCCCAGCTGGCCACATTGGCCAAGGAGCCAGGGCTGGAGTCCATTCTTTAAGGCACTTCCTGCCACCTTGTCCCTCAGACGCACCAACACTCTGTGCTCCACAAACGACTCGGGGTGGGGGGATGATATGAATGTCACAGGAGGTGACACCTTCTGTCCTTGTTTCAAAGAAAGTGATGTGCCATTTGTTAATATACAAGAGAAATACTGAAAATATATTGAAAAGAGCAATTTTAAATTATTTTTGGCTTATGTTGCAATATTTATTTTCTTGTATTAGAAAAGATTCCTTTGTAGAGAAAAAAATGTATTTTTCATTAACGCAAAGACCTATTTCCCCTTTTTGTACATTGTCCACGTTCGCTCCCCTTAACGAGCAATAGAATGTACGGCCGCCTTGCTGCGGCCGGAGCCCGCGCGCCCTGCATGATTCTGTGTTGCTGCTGCTGCGTAGCTCCCACTCCCATCCTGTCCTGCTCACTCATGGGGGTTTCCGGCCCCCGGCCCCCACCAGGGCCTGTGTCTCAAGGAGCCCTTTGCACTCCTCGTGTGTTGGCAAACGCGGTGAATAAAGCAATGTTTTCCGTGCCGGATGGTGTGAGGCTCTGTTGCACTGGGCGGGGGGAGGGGGTCCACACCCCACAGCCAGCAGGAGGCCTGGGGAACCAGCGAGGGCTCTGCGCGTCCCGCGGGACCTCATGCTTCCTGCAGAGGAGTCCTCTAGCGATGCTCCTCGTCAGCGCCCAGAAGGCACCGGGGGCTGCGCTCAAGGGCAGCTCTCGGTGGAGCTCCCAAGTCGCCTCCTTGGGTTCGCACCCAAGTCGCCTCCTTGGGTGACCACTTTGCTCCTCATCCGCATCCACCGCGATTCCGAGCGGATGAGGGAGCGCCCAGAGCCACAGCTGTGATGAGAGGAGGGGTTCCGCATCACCCGCAGGACTGCTGCACTTGGCCCACCCCGTCGTGAGCCACCCTCCTGGGACAGTGGGAGGGTTTGCGGACAACCTTGGGCATCTGTCACACCTCCATCAGGGAAGGTGCTGGCTCAGGTTTGTTTTTCATTCCCGATTGCCTGAGCACCTGCTCGGTGCCAGGCTCTGGAAGCTGTTAGGTAAGTGTAGCCACCATCCCTGCCCCAGGGCAGCTCACTGTCCAGCAGGGACTCAGACGAGGGGACAGGGAGTTACGGAGGCCCTGGCTGGTTTGGGGATGGGAGGCATTCAGGATGGGTTTCCTTGAGGAATGGAGACCATTCATTCATTCATTCATTCAATGAATCTCAGCCATATACCTCATTCTGCCAGCGTGCTACGGGCTGTATACCAAACGTCACCAGGATCGTGCCATCCTAGAGCTTCCAGGCAACGGAGACCTGAAGAATAAACGGTTGCTCGGTCAAGGGCAGCTGGATAGAAGGAAGGGCCAACAAGCATTCCTGAAATGGCTTGGGCATGTGCAAAGATATATCAAACTATGCAGAGTAGGAAGGGGTCTTCAACCTCCTCTGAGAGCCCCAGGCGGGCAGTTTGGGAAAAGGGTGGAATTGGGACTCAAGGAACCTAGCTTCTGGAGCCACCGACTTAGTTGTTTGCCACCGAGAATTGCCCCATTTTGTCACTGCAATAGGCAGTAGCCCCTAAGGCTACCTCCAGATCCGAGGTTCTGTGACCACAATGCGGAAGGCATGGGAAGGAACGTGGGGCTCCGCATTGGCCAGCCCACCTGTCACAGGGGCCAGCTGCCCTGGGCTCACACCCCAGCACCCCAGCCTCTCGGTCCTCCCTCCGCCAGCACCACGCCACGTGCACTTGGCCACCTTGGTCCAGAAGAGTGAGACAGGCGCCCTGCTGCCAGACCCACACCTGAAAGCTGACCCGGCTGCTACCCGTGGGGCCAGAGAGGTCAAGACACCTGTGGGTCTAAAGCAGCAGTGTTTGGTAGACATCAGGTGCGATCACACGTTTAAGTCCGGTAGCCGCAGGTTTTAAAAGTAAAACACGTAAAATGGAACTTTAACCTATCAGATCCAAATACAACCACTTAAACGTGTAATTCATATAAAACAACTACTAATGAGAGATTTTACATTCTTTTGACTAAATCCTCGCAATCCAGTGTGTATTTTATATTTATAGCACATCTCAGTTTGGACTAGCCACTTTCGAGCTCAATAGCCAGGTGGCTAGTGCCTACTCTATTGGGCACCATAGCCCTAGAAGCCATCGGGTGTCTCCCGGTTTGCTTTGGATTGACCCAGGCTTGTGAGGGGTGAGGGACAGACAACCATGAGGAGTCCTTGGCCCTCTTCCATGGGGGAAGGCAGAGGAGTAGACCTGGCCCTAGTTCCCAGCAAGTCCCTCTGGGGTCCCTCTCGGCACCCATTCAAGTCCACATGACTGCTTCATGGCAGGGGTCTCACAACTGGTTGGGGCTCCTAGGTCTTTGCCCCTGTGGCTGCCTCTGCTGTCTCTCCCCCGAGGGCAGGACAGGATGAGTGTGGACTGAAGTGTTCCCAGCTCCCTCGTGCCGGGCCAGTTCTCTCCCAGGATCTCCCAGGAGGGGTGCGGCATTCATCACCCTTCTATCTTGCCTGCATTGATTCCACGCTCACTGAGCACCTGCTACTGGGCCCTGAGGACATTAAGATGACCACATGCCCCTAGGGGGAGACCAGGCCTGTGTGGGAGACACACTTTAATCATGTAATCCCAGAGCAGCGTCCATTACTAAGACCATACCGTAAGTATAAAGCTGGGTGGGAGGAGGTCTCTGAGAATTTCCTTTGTTCTCACCAAATTTCTGCAAGGATAGGCTATGGGGTGCCATCTGCTGCCTGTCGGGCCCCAGCCCAGATGGCTCCAGCAACAAGTCTGAAGGCCCACAGGGCCAGGGCCAACCATGCAGTCCCTAGTCTCAGAACTCCAGACCTCCTTCTCCCACACCCCCCTATGCATGGCCCTTCAGCCCTTCATGAGCCAGCACAGAGAAGGAGCTTCTTTATCAGCCTTCAGGATAAGGGACAAGAGGTCTCCTGAGAGCATAAGGCATTGGTTTAGGCCTGTGGGGTGCCCACCCTGGGTAGGGTGGGTGGACTGAGGATTTCCAGGCCCTGCTGTCTCGTAACTGCTAAAGCAAGGGAGGCGATCAATGGCGGGTTGGAGAGGGAACATTCCGTGCTCCCAGAGACGGCCTCAGTCCCTCTCATCGCACCTCTGTCTGTGCCCAGAGGCAGCAAAGGCCCTTTTTCTGGGAGAGGAGGGTTTCGGGACTCAGAGACACTGTGGACCCATGCCAGCAGGTTGCTCAAAGTGGTCTCATGCGCCACTCCCCTTCACAGGAGAGAGCCCCACACTGCAGCGTCGCCTGGCCAGGCTCTTGAGGGCATCCACAAAAGGGCTGACTCCTTCACACTCCGAAGGCCACGCCGCGGCTGCCCCTGTCTACATCTGCCCCAGCCACCCACTCTTCATTCCCCTGATGAGAAGCACAGGCAGGACATGAGGCTTCATGATCACCACTGGGGGGCTGCCTGATAAAAAAAAAAAAAGAGGTCATGAAAAATGGATTTCAGGGCAGCCTTCTAGGGTTCAGGCAGACTCACTGCCTAGTGTCAAATAGAGCAAGGCAAGGATAGGGGTCAGTCAAGCAGGTGACTTAGGGGCAAGATTAGTGCATCAGGATGGGGCTCGACACCCCGTGCTCCAAGCCAGGCCTGGAGTTCAGAAGCATCCATACCGGGGCGCCTGGGTGGCTCAGTTGGTTAAGCGACTGCCTT